AAGGAGCAGAGAGCCCGATGCGGAACTCGATCCCAGGACCCTGGGATCATGACCTGAGCCGAAGGCAGATGCTTAACCATCTGAGCCACCCAGGCACCCTAATTTTTTTTTTTTTAAGAGAGAGGGGTGGTGGGGCAGAGGCAGAGGGAGCATCTTTAACAGGCTCCACACCTAGTGCAAAGCCCCATGTGGGCTCAATCTCATGACCGCAAGATCATGACCTGAGCCAAAATCAAGAGTTGTATGCCCAACTAACTGGGCCACCCAGGAGCCCCTGGTATAGTTATATTAATATCAGATTGATCTCATATTATTCAGATAATATCAGATTAAGTAGACCTTAAGACAAAAAGTATTACTACAGATAGAGTGTCGTATCATGATGCTTAAAGGACCAACTCATCAACAAAAATATAACAACTCCAAATCTGTATACTGTTAGTAAAAGAGCTACAAAATGTAAAGACAAAAATAACAGAACTAAAGGGAGATATAGACAACACCACTCATTGCTGGAAATCTTAACAACTCTCTCTCAGTAATTGATAGAACAAATAGACAAAGAGTCCTTAAGGAAACGGAAGATTTGAGCAACACTATCAATTTGTCCTTACAGACATTTCTGGTTACTACCCCCAATAACTGCAGAACACATATAGTGTCACGAGTACATGGAACATTCACTATGACAGAGTAAAATTTAGGCCATAATTTAAATGTCAGTAAATTTAAAAGAAATGAAATAATACAGAATATCTTATCTGACAAAATAGACTTAATTGTTTACAATAAGATATTTAGAAAAGCCACAAAGTAACTGGAAACTGAACAAAGTATTTTTAACCAAAGGACAAAGGAAAAAATATATTAAAATTTGTGGAATACAGCTAAATACGCTTAGAGGGAAATTTATCACTTTAAATACTAATAGAAAAAAATGGTCTAAAATCAATGGTCTAAGCTCCCACTTTAGAAAGCTAGAAAAAGAAAAGCAAATCATATCCAAAGTAAGTAGAAGACAGAAAATAATGAATATATGTGTATATAGATTAATGAAATGGGAAACAATTCAGAAAATCAACAAGGTCAAAACTTGATTCTTTAAAAAGATGAATAAAATTTATAAAGCCTTTGAAAGACTGATCAGGAAAAAAAGAGAAGACATAAATCATAAATATCAAAGAATTAAGGGGACATCACTGTAGATCCTACAGATATTAGAATAAGAAAAAAATACTGGAAACAGCTTTACACTAATAAACATGGCAGATGAAATGGACAAATTCCTTGAGCAACACAATTTATTAAAAATACATAAGAAATAGAAAATCTGAATAATCCTATAGCTGTTAGAGATTGATTTTATAATTTATTTTTAAAAAAGACTTATTTAGGGGCACCTGGGTGGCTCAGTCATTAAGTGTCTGCCTTCAGCTCAGGTCATATTCCCAGGGTCCTGGGATGAAGCCCCGCATTTGGCTCCCTACTCTGTGGGAAGCCTGCTTCTCCCTCTTCCACTCCCCCTGCTTGTGTTTCCCTCTCTCACTGTGTCTCTCTCTGTCAAATAAATAAATAAAATCTTTTAAAAAATAAAAAAATAATAAAAAAATAAAGACTTATTTTAGAGAGAGAGCAAGCGTATACAAGCAGGGGGAGGGGTAGGAGGAGGGGTAGAGAGAATCCTCAAACGGACTCCCTGCTGAGCAGGGAGCTGGATGTGGGGTTCAATCCCAGGACCCTGAGATCATGACCAGAGTAGAAATCACGAGCTGGCCACTTAACTGACTGAGCCACCCAGGCACTGCTCAACTTATAATAAAACCTTTCTAGGTTTTAAAGAAAAAATTCTAGGCACACATGACTTCTTTGGTGAATTTTCTTTTAAATATTTAATGAAAATCCTCAAGAAAACATTAACAAATCCAAGATTGGTTCAACATTGAAAAATCAATGTAGTTCACCATAAAGAAAAAAAAAGCATGTAAATTATCTCAATTGATGCATAAAAAGCATTTAACCAAGTTAATGTATTTATGATTAAAAAACCCCAAAAACTCAGCAGGGGCACCTGGATGGCTCAGTCGGGTAAGGGTAAGTGTCTGTCTTCGGCTCAGGTTAGGATCCCAGGGTCCTGGGATCAAGTCCTGCACTGGGCTCCCTACTCAGTGGGGAGCCTTGCTTCTTCCTCACCCTCTGCTGCTCCCCCGCTTGTGCTCTCTCACTCTCTCTCTGTCTCTCTTTCAAATAAATAAAATCTTAAAAAAAAAACTCAGCAAATGAAACTAGAAGGGAATCTTCTTTAGATAAAAGACATCCAAGAAAAATCTACAGCTAAACATCAAATATAATTTCCCCCAAATACTGGATATAACGGGCATTAGCTAGACATTTATTTCCTTATTTTCTCTTGGATCTGTCCATTCCTCTCCATCTCCACTGCTACTACCCTGGTTTATGATGCCATTACTTCTTGTTTGGACTATTGCAGTAACTTTCTAATTGGTCCCCATAAAACCACTGTAGCTTTCCGATTATCCATTCTTCAAACTGTGGCCAGAGGAATCTTTTTAAAACACAAACCCATTTATGTCACCCCTCCACTTCAGAGCATTCAGTGACTTCTCAATGCCCTTTAACAATAAATGTCAAACTCCTTAACATGGTCTGTAAGTTCCCAGCTTCCTCTCCAGTATCACTGCATACCGCTTTCTTCATGTTCTGTATCATGCATGGCCGTCTATCAGTTCTTCAACCATAGCATGTTTTCTCTCACCACTGTTAAGATAAAACAAAAATCTACAGATTGGGAGAAGATATTTGCACATCACATATCCAACAAAGGACTTTATCCAGAATATATAAAGAACTCTGAAAACGCAATACAAAAACAATCCAATTTTTATAAAAATAGGTGAAGTATTTGAACACACACTTTACCAAAGAAGATACATGGATGGCTATGAAGAACATGAAAAGGCACTCAATTATCATAAATCACCATGGAAACACATTAAAACCATAATGAGGTATCAAATGCTGGTGAGGATACGAATTGGATCCATTGTATATAGCTAATGGAAGTGTAAAGCTGACTCTGGAAAATAGCTGGGCATTTTCTCAGTTAAACATACATTTATCACATACACACACAAAAAAATCCCCAAAAAACCTACATTTATCACACGACTCAGCACATTTACACAAAAATATGTATACAAATGTGTATAGCAGCTTTTTTGGTGAAAGGAGAGGTTAAATTTTTTATTTCCTAGACTTTGAAGTAGCCTATCCCACTGTATATTTTCCCCCAGTTTGACTGAGATACAAATGATGTAAAGCATCATGTAAGTTTAAGGTACACAGCATAATGATCTAACTTAACATACTACTACAATAAGTTTACTTAACATCCATCATCTCATACAGATACCAAAAAAAAAAAAGAAAGAAAGAAAGGAAAAAAACACATTTTTCCTTGTGATGAAACTCTTGAGATTGACTCTCCTGACAACTTTCATATAGATCATACAGCAGTGTTAACTACAACCATTCAAAGAAGTCTTATTTGCAGTAGTCCCATGGAAACAACCCAAATGTTCACCAACTGGTGAATGGATAAACAGATTGTGTTATAATCCAACACTGGAATACCACTCAGCAATAAAAAAGGACCAAATTATTGATACAACAACATGAGAGAATCTAAAATGTATTATACTATGTGAAAAAACGAAGTCTCAAAAGACTATATACTTTATGATCTCATTCATATGACAAATAAATGGAACATGTGTATTATCAGGTCAACCGGCAAAATATTAATAGCATCTGTATATTAAATTGTACCAACACTTATTTCCTGATTTTGATCACTGTATTGTGATTATGTAGAAGAATGTCCTTGTTTTTTGAGAACTACATATAGGTATATAGGAGTAAAGGGGTATAAGACCTACAACAGTTCAGAAAAAATATCCATTGATGGATAGTATCATAAAGAAAATATGATAAAATGTTAACATTTGGATCTCGGTAAAAATGAGAACTCTTTTCACTCTTCTTATAAGTTTTCAGTAAGTCTGAAATTATTTCAAAATAGATAATTTTTTTAAAAGTATATAGTACAGGCAGGTTATAGATTAGCAGGACGAGACCACATACAGGCACAAACACATACTCCCTGCTTCCTCATTTAGTTAGCCAAGGAAACAACACTTAAAAGAAGACAGGTGGCTACACGAAGCAGGGGCAGACGCAGCATATCTTTGCTGGTTTTCTCCATGGCTCTTGATTCCTTATGGAGTGTGCAAGTGCTGCTGACATTCTTCACCCAGTCAGTGAGTGTTCCAGAGCTGAGAACAAAGCCAGTCTCTCTCACTAATACGCTTTTATATTCAGACTTACGTCATTAGCATCTTCCTAAGGAACTGACACTGAAGACTGTATGAGCCTACGTTTAAGGGACTACCAAAGAGTGTTCTAAGTTGGAACACCTGCATGTCAACGAGTGAACCAAACTGATCTGCAGTAAGAGCATAGTCCTCCTTTTGGGAGAAGATGCAGAGCTAGGGCCCCGGTGGCTCCGAACAGTACCTCTGCCTCAAGCTTTACTGTTCTCCACGAACACCACAGGAGATTGAGGGAGGATAGATTCTTTTTCTGTAACGTTATTTCCATTCATAGATGTTTAAAAGGCAAAATAAAAAAGGGGCTATTTTTTCACGTGATTACAATAATTGGTTCTTAAAGAAATGTAAGAGGATTAGATTAGATGCCTTTTTAGTTCAATGGGCCTGTGATCAATCCTAGAACCAGCCTGAGCTGCAGTTATGCTATACAGAACTTAAAGTATTTTTCTGGGGCTATGACCAAGGTAAATATTTAATAGAATTACAAATCAGGATTGGAGAGCTTCACCTTCCTTAAGTAAACGCACTTAACTGAAATATCGAAAGATTGCTTCATCTAACAAAGAATCGCATCTACTTTGAGGAGCATCATGATTCCCAGACTCTAAGAGCTCACATTCTAGTATAAGGAAACAAGACCATTGCTCAAAATCAAGTGAAAGGTCAGTGAGAGTGCAAAACCATAATCCTTGGGAGATTCAGAGACTGAAGACAGTCGCGGCCCATCAGAGTCGCTGGATCAATGGAACTCAAGGGACAAATTTGGCTGCTGTGTGCTGTACTGCAGGCCCAGGGTGTCAGAGAGAGCAGTGAGAGATAACTCGGCAACAGCCTGTGGATCCAGGCATTGGGGGGTGATTACTCACAGCCTTGTGCAGAGGTCTGTGATTGGAGCATCGGCCTGTTATTGAGGTGTCCTCAACCTGTCACCAGCCCCTCCTCTGCTTCTTCCAATCCCTTGGGGCAAACCACTAAGGCTCTCTTCCCTGCGTGAGTATCTGAGTCTGTTCCTCTTCTTTAAGAGGCTTTCCGTCACACCATGTGAGGTTGTAAAAGCTTATTGTTTTTTCTTGGGGGAAGACTATTAATTGTGGGAAAATGTCCAGCTAATAATAACGTCCATTATAGCAGCTAAACAACAGAGTGGCATCTTAGATGGCTGGGACATCTCCTCCTATTTTATGTTAAATATGAAGAGAAAACCTTCCTGAATTACACTTTCAAGGAAGCATTTCCTTCTGCTGAAATAAATGGTTAGTGGCAAAGCTGTTATCTGGCTGTGTTGCTGATAAAAGCAGATTCTGTGAGTGAAGGTTAAAGGATCTCTGGTCTCTGTCCCCTGTAGACCCTTCCTGAGTCACATTCTCATTATCGTTTGCCTGAATGAAGAGCCTCTTAAAAGACCTTCCTGTCTCTGCCAGGGCAGAGGCCTATTTGTGTTTTGTTTTTGTTTTTGTTGATACAGGCTACACTGGCAATCTGGCAAAGCCTGCGGCCCCCTTCTCAAAATAAAATTTTTAAATGCACAATATAAAATACATAGAACTGCAAGGACAACAGATTTTATACAACTAAAATGATCGAAATATGAAAAACAGATACGTGATCCTGTAACATGCTTCTTTGCTGGTTTAGAAGAGTGGAAGTATCTTCCAAAAGCTCATTAACAGACTTGCCCTCACATCTCATAGTGGCAAGTGACAGACTGCCAATCCATTCGGCCTCCACCCGGGGTCCTATGGCCACCCAGCTAGACTCCATTTTCTGTTCTCTCTTGCAACTGGCTATGGCAGTGTGACTACGCCATCACCAGGATAAGCTTCAGTGCAACATGAGCAGAAGAAAATGATCCATCTAGGTTTGGGCCTTAAAACACCGGGTGTGAGCTTTTCTTCTCTCTGACCTTCCTTTCGAGTTAGAATTCCAGCATGGCTACAACTAGTTGCCACCATTCAAATGCTCTACAGGATGGTGGAGCAACAGAGAGAAAAAAACCAAGGGCCCCTGGCAGTACCCCCAGAGCTGTCCTCCCTGCCCCCAGCTTAGGCGGGCCACACTAATGTGAGAGAGAGAAATATATTTCTATCTTCTTTAAGCCACTAGATTTTGGGATTTCTATTACAGCAGCTTAGCCTTTAACCTAACTGATCCACAGACCCATGCCCAAACTAAACCACGACTGATTAGATGAATCATTTGGGGTAGAATAGATGTTAGGGAGTTAACTACACTAGACCCCAAGGGACTATGTCTTTTTTTTTTTTTAAGATTTTATTTATTTATTTGAGAGAGAGAGAATGAGAGATAGAGAGCACGAGAGGGAAGAGGGTCAGAGGGAGAAGCAGACTCCCTGCCGAGCAGGGAGCCCGATGCGGGACTCGATCCTGGGACTCCAGGATCATGACCTGAGCCGAAGGCAGTCGCTTAACCAACTGAGCCACCCAGGCACCCCCAAGGGACTATGTCTTATATGCAGAATATACACCAGGGAGCCATAGAGACGGTCACCTTATGGGAATTCAACTATATGTTTTTAGAAAAAGAGAGCAGGAACCATTTAAATAGTAAGGGTAACTCAGCCATTCTACTCAAAGAGCATATGCCGTGGATTGAAATGAGATAGCAGCCATGCATCTGTTATTCCTTCTATCTCAATTTCCTAGTTGCTGCCTCCAGTGTGAACCTTTTGTCGCACCAAGTGTGTTTCTAGTGTTTAAACCTTCAATGTTCATTTTTCATATAACATGGACCCTAAATGCAAGGGAACTACTTTATCTGGTGCTATATAGAGGATGACTTGTATGTTCTAAAATTAAGGGAATCTTCTGAAAGGATTGGACTATAAGCAATTTTCATCATTAAGTGCTAACTTTAAAATTTAATCCCTGAGTAAGATTCAAGTCTACCATATTAGTCTTAAAGTGATAGGATCTAAGGCTTGGAGGGGCCAAATATGTCTATCTAGCCCCAACTACCTATATAATAGAACCTCCTGTAAAAATAAATGTTGGTAGATATTGGTGACCAATTGAGGTACTCTTCCCATGATTCTACTCTCGCATTTCCCCCCACAATTCTATGTCTATGTACATATTTTCCCTGATCATTCCCTTGTTTACCCGGGAAACATCCCCTTCAAGAATCAGGTCAAAGATCACACCTTCTGTGAATACTCCCCTAAATCACTCAGGCAGTCTTAGATGCTCCTTCCTTTCTGTTCCCATTGTAACTCTTTTGGTTCATATACTATATAGCACTACAATGTTCTCTTTGCTTAATTCTCCCATACAGCTCCTTGAAGGTAGAGACAGGTGATTTATC